AAACATGATTTCTTTAAAATTAATTTAATTCTTCTTGTATAGCCAATATCCAAAATTAACCAAACACATTTTCTTTAAAATTCTTTGTTTCAATTTGAGAAATAAATGCATAACTATTAAAATGATTTCTAGTAGAAGCTCTAGTAGTAATACCTTTGGACAGACCACTAATAATAAGCTCTTTGGGGGCGAGAAAACATACCCCCATTCCTTTGGTAAAGTTTGATAATTTTGTACTATGGGAAATTCTACTCAGCTTGTTGAATATTTGCTTCTTCCTCATGTTCATTTTTAGGGTTTTCTTTGTTTTGATCTTGGATGTTCATTTGCTCGAAAGAAATCTTCAAACCCACATTATTTACAATACCTTTCTCTTGATCAAGAGAGTTGGTTTCATCAAAAGTTATATGCATAGATGCTTCAACTATTAATGTTCTTTTGTTGAAAACTCTACAGACTTTGCTAGTAAATGAATATGTAAGGAAGATTTCAATATCGAATTTTGAAACAATTTTCCCAAATATTCATTTGTGATTAAAATGAAACACTTGGAACGGATAACTCTAAAATAACCGATATTGGGAACTCTATTTTTCAAAGCTCATAAGGAGTTTTTGTTTGCTTTCAACTAACTAAAACTCTATTAACAATATAGCAAGTAGTATTAATGGCTTTGGCCCAAAACTATTTTGGTAGACTATTTTCAATAAGCATGTTCCTAGTCATTTATTGCAATGTATGATTACATCTTTCTACTACAACATTACGTTGAGAAGTTCTAGGAGTCAAGAAATTATATTCATATACATTTTCATTACAAAAATTATCAAAAGCGATATTATCAAATTCTTCACCATGGTTATCTCTAATAAATGGAATAGTATATCCCTTTTCGCTTTGAACTCTTTTACCAAAGTGCTTAAAAGTATTTAAGGCTTCATCTTTTAGGTTCAAAACTCTGACCCCAAGTATATCTAGAATAGTCGTTGACAAATAAGTTTTTGAGATTTTTGCTTCAAGAAAGGTTTATATTCAATCCCCCTCACCAAAAACACATTTATGTTCACTAAGCTTAAATTAAAGTTTTTCTTACCTCAAGTGAACTTGTAAATAAATTTCTTTGATTAAGGAGTTGTAGTCAAATTTTTCTTTCTCAAGATCCTTCTGAGTTTCTAAAATTTTCTTTACTTCATTTTTCAATAAAGGGTGCTTCTTTTTGAGATTTGAGTTACTTAAGAAAGTTTTCAAATTCTTTAAGAATCTTATTATAAGAGGTAGATAAATTATCATATGAATATTTTTCAACAGAATTTACCTCATTGTCAATTTCCATGAAACATATGTTGGCAATTTCTTCTTGACTTTCATGTTCATCATGATCTTCGTCATCACTCTCTTCCCATGTCACTTCGAGTACTTTCTTTTGATAAATCTTTTCTTGTTTGAACACTTGGTTATCTTGTGACCGAGTGTGTCAAAACCATAATAAATAATCTTTTTGCTTTTCTTTTTGCCCTTTTCATCCTTCTTTTGAGATCGTCGATTCTTACGGAAATTTCTCCATTTCTTAACGAGAAAAACTCGATCATCAAGCTCTTCATCACTCATGTTTTCGCTTGTAGTGCCTTCATCAATTGTCGATTTTATGGCAATTTGGTGTTTAGGATGTTTCTTTGTTTCTTTATCACTTTTTCTTGTTTTCTCCTTTGTCACAATATTGTTGAGCTCATAAATCATCAAAGTTCCATTTAACTCTTCTAATGGATATGTGTTGACATCTTTGGTTTTTCTATCAACATCTTTAGTAAATTCCAATCCTCCTAGAGAGACTGAAGTATTTTACTCACAAGTTCACCATCAGTAATTTTTCAATCAAAACCTTTGATACCATTAGTAATATCGACGAAATGAGTAATCATATAAACAATAGATTCATTTTGTTTCATGAAGAAGTTTTCAAATTCTTTAACCAAAATATTGATTTTGGTTTCTTTTACTTTGTTAGGGCCCAAGTTACTTCTAAGGCATGCCGAATATAAAAAATGGAATCACGTGTTAATGCAATTAAATTCATTTTTATCTAAAGAACAATAAAGTATATTTTTGGCTCTAGCATTTAAAGATAAATTTCTTTTATCTTTTTCATCGTACTCCTCTCTAGATTTTGAAATGATTTGATTCGATTTTTCATCAACTTTAATAACTTTTGCAGGCACATAGGGACCAAATTCAATAACTTCCCAAAAATTATAATCTATTAATTGAACATAAATCATCATCCTTACTTTTCAAGAGTTATAATGTGTGCCATCAAAGATAGGAGGATGATTTGTAGAATGCCCCTCAAGATTTTGAAGACAGTGGCTTGAAATTACTTAAAATACTAAAATCTTTAATTTTAAAAATGAGCACCAAGCTTTGCTACCAATTGAAAGCCCAAGAATAACTAACTGGGAGACAGAAGGGGATGAATTGATTTTTAAAAACTTTGTCAAAAAATCAACGAAGTTAAGAACACGTTGACCAATTAATACTCGTAAGCAAAAAAGGCAAGTAGATCAATCAAATAATAAATATAAATGAAATAACGACGAGTTAAAGGATAGAGAGAATGCAAACGATATAATTGGAGAGGTTCCATCCAAAACAATTACTATATCCTCCGTGACCAAGCTCTTCGGCAAGAGCAAGGCCTTTTAACTATATTGATTTATTTATAGTGCAATCCAACTCTTTCGAAGACATAAAAACAAGGAGCATCGATTCTTATATACTATTGAGTTTTAGGGGGCCTCGATATGACCACACAAATTTAAAGATGAATGATTTTATAATTTGTAATTTCTCTCTTAATAAATGATATAAACAATTAAGTACAAAGAGACAAATATGTTAATACTTAAATAAATAGCAATGATTGAAGTTCAAGTGTTAGATGAGAAAACTTTGATGAAAAAGATGATTTTCAAATGTTGATTCAATCAATCAAAAATTTTCAAAGTAAATTTTCGAAAAATTAAATAAGATGTAAGAGCTTAAATATTTCTCACTTTAATGCTCTTGAAGAATATTGCAAGGAATGCAAGAAGTTGGAAAGTATTTTCAAGTAAAAATCGAAGGTTAAAATGGTCAAATTTTTTACCGTTGAAAACTTTCGGTCAATCACCACTTCCTGGCGGTCAATCGTCAGGTGATTTTGATCTTTTTATGTTTTAGTCCTGTTTGATCAAATTTGAAAGTTTTGAAAGGCATGGAGTTTTGGAAAGTATTTTTAACTAACTTTTCAAGATAAAAAATATTTTTCAAGTTCAAATATCATTTTAAATGTCATTTTTATATTTAATCAAACTATTACATTAAGTGACTTTTAATGCACAAAATTTATTTAGCATAGAAGGTTTTTAAGCTTAAGCATCATTGTTTAATATCAAAGTATTAGTATCTTTACACTTTATCTATGAAATCAAGTCTTTGATCTTGTTCCAAAGTTTGGCTCTTAAGTTCTTGAATGCGTGACTTTGACTTTCACTTTCTTCATGAGTTTGATTTGAGATGATAGCTTTTGATCATTTGACGACCATCCATTAATTTTTTGTCGTATGCTTTGAAAACTGTAATCTCTAGTTATAATCAAAACTTTAAGGTTATACATAGGCCAACAAGCAATCATAGAAGCAGATCCTTCACTTCGTCACACATCAATCACCATTAATGAATGGATTAACTTTGAAAATTGCAGGATTTAAATCCTTGGTTTACACACACCTTACAAGTTCACAAATTAAATAAATAGTTAAGCTCGAACTTTGGGGATTAGAGATTTTTGCTTGTATCACTAAAGAGAAATGAAAATATTCAACTTCATTTTCACTCAAAATCAATTAAGCTTCTTATTGATCTTATCTTTATAAGAAACCAATATAAGAGTTCGTTAATGATTGTTTTGGCTCGCGTATTGCAGCGAGTTATCAAGGTCTATAGTGTTAAAATAAATTCAAGCGAATTTAAATGTAAGTCCTAAACCTAACATAAATGATCAGACTCGAAATTTGGGAACTATTTCTTATCAATTAATTTTATAGAGTTAGTCATGGAAATTTTGGCCATTATTGTGGTACTCTCTATCCTGAGCTCGCCTGTGCAAACCTATTTCAATATTGGTGAACATTTATCAGATCATGTGCAAATCTAGGCCACTGACAGCAAGCATTTCTAATACGAAAACAATAAGTTTGATCTTGAGTATGAACGACGAGCGCACAATGCATGCAAGCACAAATTGATGAACAAACAAAAATACTATTACCCCATTTGGCCCCCATTCTTGACAAATTTTAATGGCTGGAATAAATTTTTTTGAAAAATGTGTGATTGAAAAAGAATGAAATTTTTTTGATTTGCGTATAATATTATTTTATGGAAAATTGTGTGATTGAAAATAAGAAAGAGAAAAATAATGAGAAGGAGAATGGGGGCCAAACGGGGCGTATATGTTTTTACAGGCAATCCACATTAACAAAACCGTCAGTGAAACACATGTGAACAAGATTATTAAACTTCTTTAAAGTGACCTCACACTCCAATGAGTAAAGAACATGTGACATGGAAAACAAAATATGGAAAAGTAATAGATCTGTTACAAACTCACTAGTTAATGACCACAAGTGTCACTAAAGAGAAAATGATTAAATTACCCTTACGCTTTACAAATATTTATAAATAGTCATGGATTCATAGTAAATAAGATATCGAAAAACTTGGATACACACTCCTTTAATAGCAATTCCCTCTCAAGTCTTGTTTCAATAGATTTCATCAAATTAGGGAGCAAAAATCACTAATAGGTGAAAGTAATTTGTTAATCTCGATTTTGAGGTCAACAATCAGTGAAAATTTATACAATCCTCCCTATAGACGAAAGTATTCATTTGCATCATACTATATATACTACGCCCTTCTCATTATTTAAATGGAAGTAGTAGTGCGAGTGAAGATTCTAATTGAAACAACGGTTATCTTGGCAATGATACCACGCCATTCTCATTATTTACAGCACATTATTCAGAAATGAAAGAGATATTTATCAAATTTCAAAGATATAAATACAAAATGGACAAAATCCTCATATAACTTAGTATATACTATCCATTAACCAAAATGCATTATAAGCAATTATTTATCCATTTGCTTGTGAACTTTTGCAACCCCTATCTCAATCTCACAACCGTTTTGGTCTCCAGCAGTTGCAGCAAGTTTGCAATTGAGAGATGTCTTTTCCAAATTGTCCACGTACATGCTCGATATCGGTACAAAATTGCCCTTCTTGTTGCACAACAAACTATGAGCTGCCCTTAGTGCAGCCCCCATTGAAGCCGAGTCTGTAAAAGCAAGAAGACGATTTGTTTTTTACAAAAAGTATAATCTTCGTGACAGAACTAGAGGGAAGAGTTAGTGTAAAAAGTATATAAGACATAAATTAAGTTCTTTAATATATAGTTTTTGATTGGTAATGTATCTTGACCAGCAAACTAAGAGTTACTTTTAAAGTAACTTTTGTAACTTAAAAGTAATAAAGTAAGTCAAAAATGTTTGAAGACAAAAAGTTAGTAACTTTTATTTCTTTTAAGCTCAGCCATACATGAAGAGAAGATGTCTTATGCAGATGACTAATTAAAATAGGCAAAATAAATAAATAAATAAATAAATATTACTTGCCTGGCCTTTGGACTGTATAAACATTGCACCCAAAAATTGAAGCTATAGAGCTCAGAATGTAGTTGTTTGCTGATGCTCCACCAGTAGCAATGATCCGCTTTGGAGGTGAAGGCATGCCAAATCTTTCAGCATGAGCTCGCATAGAAAGCAACTGGCCCTCAACTAATGCCCGAACCTACAACCAATTCGTTATGCACGTACATATATATAAGTATAGAATTTCTGTCAACTTCTTTTGACATCTCTAAATGATCTGTTAAGTTACCTCAGAAGGAGGGTCAAAATCCTGGACTTCACATTCACTTCCTCCATCTAAAGACTCTCCATTGAAATTCTTAAGAACATAACGATGGAACCCGACTGCAAGATTCACAAGTCAATCACTTGCAATTATTTATAATAACAGGAAAACTTTATTTTGTATATTTTCTATTCCCTCGATATACAACAACAATAATAGAGATATTAGTCAATTATTCGTTTTTCGCAAGTTTTATAACTAGGTAACGTATAAAACAGAAGAAAGCTTTGTATTCTTATGCAGAAAACTTGCAGCAAGTTATTAAACACGAGAAATTAGCATTCCTCATAGAGAGCATTATACTTGCTGATAATTTAGTAACATAATTGATAGAATGCTCACCTGGAAGAGGAGGAAGAATTTCATGGTCTTTGTAATAAAAGCCTAATTTTCCACCTGATAAATGAAAAAGCATTAAAGAGTAAAAACAATGAAGGGAACAATAAACTTAACCAATTCAGAAATAAATATGAAAAACTTCTGCACTAACCATTTAGAGGTCGGGTTTGCTGCAAAAATTTATTAAAAACCTCCCGAGATTTATCCGCACACTGGTTACGTATATCTATCAAGGTGTCACAGATTTAATAAAACGAATTTCAGATTGCTTTACACACAGTTATTCCTTGGATTTTCTGGAGTACCTTCACGGGCCAGAGACCCATTCTTATAGCACAGCATAACCATGTAGCTTTTTGGATCCACTGGATTAGGAAAGACATGCCCTTCTAAGGATGGTTTATGTTCAGTTGTGATTCCAAAAACCTAATAAAAAGTGTAAGGCACTTAATAGGTTCAACTGAAATATCTTACTAGAATTCAAGCAATTAGGTAAATGTAGAAACAGAAAGTTATCATTAGTAGTCAAACTTTGCCAATTTAATCAGTTCCTTTACCATCTCTCTCTGTGGCTCAGTACAACATTGTTATCTCTTCGTGATGCTTGGAGAAAATATATCATTTTCCAACCACAAAAGTCACCCAAATAATCACCATTTTAAGTTCCATTGTTCCAAGAAAGAGATTAAATGACTGCTGAAATAAAATTTGTAAATGGACCGTAATTACAGGAGGGAAGCAAATCAAAATGCCCCAAAGAAAAGCTAGTTGAGATTGGCATTTATTTCTCAACTTCATCAGTTTGGCTCTTGCCTGGAAGTCAATTGAGCTATCTACTATACTGGAACTTTGCTTGAGAAATTTTCTTAGGGGTTCTTTGGGGAAGAAAAGTTTAGCAGATTTTCGAAAAAGGTGATGAAATGTGTGATTAAAAAATTGATAAAAGTTGTGGGTCCCATTAAATGTGTAGTTAAAATCAATTGTTGACTTTGACTTCAACTTTTTTAGCAACTTTTAAAGCTATCTCAAACAAGCACCTAATGTTAAAACTTGAAAATGGTCAGAAGAAAATAAAAGTGGGGTTTGCATTAAAGTTGGATAAACACAAGTAATTAGTTTTCTAGTATTAAAATCGTAAACAAAGTCAGACAATCTTAAGGTGGACATAGAAAGCCAACGTACAGTGTCCTAGTACCAAGACTGATGGCTAGATCCCCAGGACTGTTGAGTGTTAACCCTGCATATAATAAATGCATCTCAGTCAGAACTCAATTAGGGAAGTGTTAGGGAGTGCAATCAATAGATTAATACAGTAAGCTGATGTTAGTATCATGATAAGGGGAGATAAATGAATATGTGGGCATTCGTGTTAAAATGTTAGCAGTGACATGATATTGGAACTACAGATTGTGACATGTGAGAACTCATTATCTTGAGCTAAAATGCAACTAAAGTACCAAATTAACTGCAACTTGCAAGCACAGGAATAAAAGAATTCATAAACAAGCGGATACAATACTAGACCATTTAAGTGCTTGTTTACGAAAAATTGAGATGTGATTATAACGAAGAGTAACAGGTCCCATGAAAAGCCTGGACAATAAGTAGGTAGTAGTTGTGAATATGTTGTTAAAATTAATGTTTGACTTTGACTTTAAAAGTATAAGGAGATTATATTGAACCCAAACAAGCACTACATTTATTATCAAGATAAAGACATGCTATATAACCTTTAACAAGTATTAAAAAATTCAAATCAGATATAAAGATAGCAAAATAATTGATACTTTGTTGCTCAGATTGAGATAGGATTAAGCAGAATGTGCTTGTCAAGGAGTCTTATGTAATAGACAAACTAAGGTCTGATATAAACATGGATTCCTGATTACTTAGCACTGAATCTAGTATTTTAACATTAAGCTCTGAGCCTTCATCAAATGGACACAAACGGAGATAGGGATGGTGAGAGAGAGAGAGTACATAACGTTCCATGTGATCTATAGAGCTGGTTTCTGAACTAGCAGAAAAATTCTGAAGATGAGTTCAATAATACAATACAATCAAGCGGCAATATATCATGCAGCCTTATTTGCAGTTAGTGCCCATAGATGAATCTAGAAAGAAGAAACAACAAAAAGTGGAGGCAAAAATGTAACAAAAAGATCATTAGATGAAGCATTTATGAGCAAAAATTACGATATGAGTAACACGAAAAACAACAAAAATAAAGATCACCTGCCACACTGTTAGGATTATTACCAGACCACTGAACGATCAAGCAGTTTTTGTTGAAGTCGTACCTGAAATTAGAACATGAAATGACTAATGAGAAATCCAAATCTCTGTGACACTTCAGGAGGGTGCCTCTTAACAGACTAATGAAGCATTGAGCCAAGAAAGAACCAAACAAGCCACCAGAAACATGAGAATTCTTTGAAATTAATGAAGTCTCAAGGTTTGACTGTTATCCTTCACTTCAGGGTCAATTCGTAGAGTTATATTATTGTAAGCAGAGTAGATATGTAAAATGCAACGTAACATCCCCTCATTCAGCCATAGTTTAATTCAATAGGCTGTTTAAATTAAGTTTTGGAAATTAATTTACGGCTTGACTGAAACAACATCTTAATTCAATACTATAGTTGATGCAAGATTATAAATAGTGTGCCACTGACCTCTCCACAAAATAGGGAGCTATTAAACCAGCTACAGCATGTGCAGGAGCTAATTTGCCAAGTTTTTCCTCCAAGCCTGGTGCAGTAGCCTAGAACAAACACAAAATATAACATCAATGTTTAAGGAGATCAACATTAATCAGTAACAACCCGATAAAAACTCAACTACAATGAGCAACAGCTAAAAAGAGACATTTGATTCGAGAAGCTGGTAAATATTAGCCATTAGTTTGATTATGAAAGTGTCAATTGTTGAATAAAAACAAATTCAAATCTATCAATTATATAAAGATTTATGCACACTATTAAAAATCAAGAAAGTGACATTGTAACCTCCAATATTATTTTGGACCATGATCTCTCTTTTATATCCATTAAATTCATCCCTGCACCATCAGTTTGATCTATACAAGCATAACTCGCTGTAAGAAGCGATGCCATGAAGGAGCTGACAAGAGAGATTCTTTCCGTGTTCTGATAAACTTCTGGTTGTGTCTCAGATATCCTCCGAATTTGTGGGCCAGTAAATCTCTCGTAAGCACGTGAACCAGTAAGCTCAGATAATTTCAATGCACCACCAACAGCTTTCTCAATTGCCTTGCATTGTTCCGTGGTGCTGCTGTCCATCCATATAGGAGACTCCTTGATGGAAAAGGCATCACGAAGTTGATCAATCAATAGTTTTTTCGGGTCAAATGATGACAGTATTTTGGAACTTCCATTCTTCCAATACACACTGCCATGTTGTTGTCCACTACCAGAAACAGCAGCAATCTTTCCAAAATCCAAATTTGATTTCTGAAGCCTCTGAAGTACGAGGTCGAGAGCTTCGACCCACATTATAGTGGGCGACACAATTCTCCCATTAACCAAAGGGTCCCGGTAAACACCATCTTTAGTCTTGTAATGTGACAACTCAGAATCAAAATTAACTATCTCTGCAGCAACAATGTTGAGGTTCGAATCCAATACAGTTGCCTTCAATGACCTAAAGAAGAAAGAATCATAATATTTCTTTTTTATTACAGATTCAATCTTAGTACTGAATTAACAATTTTAAAAAATTTAGGAACACTGAAATTAAGACAGCCCACAAATATGAACGACCCAAAAACACAAATTAAAACATGGCATCAGACAAAGTTTGCTTACTGCACACGAAAATAGGTATCAAATTAAAAGGAGAAACTTACTGAGTAGAGCTATCAAATCCAAGAAAGTAAGCATCCTTAGGTAGAGAACAATCCTCCATTAGAGCGAGAATTCAATTAATCAGAACCTGAAAGGCGAAAAGGAATAAAATTTGACTAATTCAGAACTAAATTTTAAAAAATATTGGAGATGTTTATAGAGGTATCTATTATATAGGACAATTAGATATGAACGAACACGTGTACTCTTCGTTTAATTAGTAGAATTCGAAATCTTTATGGTGGATTTGGCATGAATTGGATTAGATAAAGATTAGATTACTCTTAAATTAATTTAAATAGCTTATATTTTTAATTTAAAAATGGATTAAAACAAATAAGACATGAATTAAGTGGTGATTGGGACCTCATTCAACATAAGATCCTCTAACTTCCTTATCCCTATGCTAGTCATGTGGAGCAATGGAGGACATTTATATGGGGAACAAACTAACCTAGTTGTACAAATGATTTTGTACAAGTAGATTGACATATGCATGTCTCTTGATTTAAATTTAGAAATTTAAATTAAAAAATTTGTCAATTTATTTGTTGGAAGATTCTATACATGTAGCATAATTACTAAGAAAAATACTACATATACATCGAGCTTTTAAGATTCCCTTATCGATGATAACATGGTGAGATTTTGAAAATTGAATTACTCTTTCCTCCTGTTATATCTCTCTCTGCTTTCTTCTTTTATACGTCTTTTCCTTTTCGTCTTTTATTTATTTTTCATGTACCAATGTTTCTCTTTCTTTCTGCAAATCTCCCAAATTGCCCCAAATCATTCAACACGGATAATAAATTTATAATTTCAAACTCTCTTGTGTAATATGATTCAAATAGGTAATTTATTTCTAAGATAATTTTATGATATTTGTTTCTCAATTTCTCAGCTCATTAGAATATGGAAATGATACTTTTACAAGGATGGTGCACATGGGGGTTTTACCGGTGTTAAGATGGCAATATCTAATTGACTGCTTTAACAATATTTTTTTTGTCCAAAATCCAATGAAACGTTGACATGTAATATTATGTAAAACTTCCTCCTTTTTTTTTTTTTTTTTTTTTTGGGGGGGGGGGGG